ATGTTTATGTCATCTTCCCCTTTCCCCCTCTCCTCCTCCTCCTTCTATGATTCAGGGTCTGACTAAATAATCCTTCAATTCACTATGTGGTTTTGGCTGAACTTAAACTTGTGATTTTCCTGCCTCAGCCTCCAGAGTGCTGAAATTGCAGTTGCACCACCATGCCTGATTTATTTATGTATTATTGATGAGTCGACCCTTTGATCATATAATAACTTTCCTTTTCAACAGTTTTGACTTGACATCCATCCTATTATGCCTGATTTATACATGACCATTACAGTAGTAGAGTATTTTGAAGTTAGTCATGTATTCACGTCTACCAACAAGTTTTATAGTTGCATATATATTCCTGCTAGTAATTTCATCCTTTTGTGTCTGCTCAGAACAAAAGAACTTCCTTATGCAACTTTTTTTTTGCAAGACAGATCTAGTGATTCCGAATTTCCTCAACTTTTACTTGTAAAATATGTTATATTTCCATCATTTCCGAAGGACAGCTTTGTTGCATATATTCTTAACTGGTAGTTTTTTCTTTCATAATTTTGAATATATCATCTTTTTGTTGTTGTTTTCTGCAGGTATCTGCTGAGCAATATAGTGATAGTCTCATAAGAATCCCCTTTATATGCATTATTCTTTCCTCTTCCTAGTAAAATAATTTGACTTTTGAAGTGCTTTTAATTACATTATTTCTGCATAATCAAAGCAAAAGGGAAAAATACCTGAGTCAGCAGAGACATTTTTGCTATGAAGGTCTAACTCAGAATTAATAACTAATAACCTAATTTATAGACAGCTTAAAATATATTTCAGCTGGCATTCAATGACAAGGAGTCAGTCTTTCACTTTTTAGATCAAAAACAGTGTCATGTGGGAATTTGCTGAGACCTTGGAGACTATTCCATGGGAAGAACATGCTTTGTTTTCAGATCTTTCAGGCTAGCAAGTGACTTCAGCCTTCCTGCATGTCAGGTCATTCCCTCACACGTGGAGGTCATTCACTGTGCTAACACAGGTCAGGTTATCAGTTTCAATGGGACAGCAGCCTTTGCTAATGGATCAGTATTATATCACATATACCAAGACCGCTCCCAATTACAAAAATGTCCTGTCTTTTGAGTTAGAGGGATGAGGGAGGGATGAGGGAGAAACGGAGAATTTTTTTTAAAAAAATACAATAAACATTTCAGCTGTAGCATTATTTTTATCTTAATGGCAAACTCTTTAGAAAATAATTGTGATTCTCTACTTGCAAATCAGGAGTAACAAAATGGTAGCGTCACCCAATATGAAGGATCACTGTCATCTTTTACTTGAGATAAATCTCCAATTCAAGAAAAATATTTGCTGCTTAAGAAATGACCTTCTGAAGGACTTAGGCCAGCGGTCCAGGCATTATTGGATTTCCTTTGTTGTAGTGTTCTTGTATTTTCACAACAGCTGGGCAGGATGAAATAGAGAGTTAACCTCAAACTAATGAAACTCATCCATGCAGAAACTATCTCTCCAAGCATAGAACTCTACTTTTAGAGATTTCACTCCACAGCTTGTTAGATTCAGGCATGATGGGGAGAGAGCAAAGTGGATGTCAGGAGGGGTGGGGTTGGGGGTCAGCGTGGAGGTAGGCTCTCCTTGGTATTTTAATTTACTCCAGGTCTTCAACCCTGGGGCACAATCCACAAACCACAGGAAGGGAGAGAGATCAATAAGCACCATGTGTGAGCAGAGCTTTTCAAGTTCTTCAACATTTTCTAAGCCTTTTCTGTTTTTCCTCTCCCCGAACATGCAAGCCCCATACCAAGACAGAGTAAGACTGGCTCCCATGCTCCACTGCCTGCCAAAAGAGCCTTTATTCTTCAGCTGCATGATCTGGCTGCCGGGATTTGCACGCCCACTGGCGGCTTTCTGCAACGCACACCCTGGCCAAGTGCACACAGTACTGTGTCAGGGCCTGAGCCGCTGGTCAGCAACCAACACTAAAGGGCTGAAAGGCAGGTTGAAGCCTGTTTTGTGCTGATGAAAACTTTCGGGAAAGCAGTCATGAAATGGACCCTGAATTCTTTTCCAACTGAATACTAACACTGTTTTCTAAGGGTATGGACACCTGGCTCCTAGACAGCAAATATTAACACCTTTCTGATTTTATAACATCCTGATTAGTTGCTCATGTGTTTTTACTGTGGCAAAAATTTATATCTGTCTTTCTTCCTGGCAGATTTAGAGTGAAGCAACCCCCACCTAGCACTGGACTAAAAGTTACTTACAAACCTGGGCCTGTAAGTCCTATGTGTTATCTGCATGTGTGTGTGTGTGTGTGTGTGTGTGTGTGTGTGTGTGCGCACATGCACACATGTGTATATATACATGTACATGTGAATGTGCATGTTTCCAGTGAAATGAGTCTTTAACTCACTCAGCCTATTCAGCTTAAATCGTGTATAATTCTAGTTTTTCTAGTATGGTAAGCAAAAGTTTTCCAGTATTATGGAATATGTGGCTTAGTGTTGCTGATTTCCCATAAGAATCATGGGGATGACCCTATGAGCAAACTGTTCAACTTCTGGCGATGGAAATATTTTGAAGCTAGCCTCATTTGCTCCAAGAAGTGCAGTACAGTTGTGTATTATATCTTAAATAAATTATTTTTCAAAAAAGAAACACTCAGAAGAACATAATTATGCCATTGCTTATATTTTATGCAAATCTGGTTTGCTATCTTGGTATTTGTCAGGTATTACTTAATGCCATACTAAAAAACGATAGTATATTTATTAACTTATCATGTGCTTCTTTTCTCCAATGACTTTGAAACACACATTTAAAATTGTTAATCTGATATGATTATATTTGATATACTCCTAAAACAAAGTATTTGGTAAAAAGGTGTATATTAATTATATATTCCCATTTTAAATTATACTTTTAGAAACACAGGATGATGTAAATGAAAGTTTATCCCAAAACCTAACATAAGCACGCTTTAAAATATTATGCCATGCAACTTCTCACTGCTTTCACACCCGCTTCATCCCACTCAGCAGACGTCCCACAGGCCACTGATAGGATGCAGTGTAAGATACACAGGAAGCTTATGGAGCCACACACATTGCAAGTACTCAACATATGTGGGGCAGGAAAACAGGATCAAATAGATATAGGACCCATCCGTCAGAAATACGAGAAATACATAGGCTCCCGAGAACTGTTGGCAGGGTGTCCAGTCCTGTACCAGGCCCAGCGCTTCCTGTATGTGAAAGTCTCAAAGCACACACCGTTGTTAGTCACACAGGAAGGTCAGTTTCATGTAACACAGTCTTTCAGCTTTCTGTCATGACTACGCCACCAAGCAGCTCAGTGATGTTGATGGTTAATGCTATAAGCCTTGCTTTGTCCTTATCTGTAAATGAAGGAGTTTAGACTATGTAATCATAGGCCTCACCCAGCTCTAATATTTCATGATCTATGGGAAATCAGTAGTATGCGAGCTGAAACATCAAATAAAAATGCATGTTGCGATTTATATCTACGAATTCATGAGCAACGCTCTGAAATAATTTATCGTGGTACTATGCGAAGATTACAGAATCTTCTCAGCATAAGACAAAACCAAAAATCAAAGCAAGCTCTTTCTTCCACTAATCTGGAAAGTTAGTAAATCTCATTTTAATCTAAAGTACAGATTGTGCCAATAGCTGAAATGACTGTTGGCTCAGCCTTCAGAAGCACTAAAAA